CAGGGGGATAGCTTGAGGCTCCGTCTCAAAAAATAAAAAAGATGATCCGTGTGTCATGGTGAGCTTCCTAACTGCTCCCTATGTATGCAGTTCTGAGCCATGATTTGCTTTCCTTTCTTCCTTCTTTGTTATTTTACTTTTTTAATTAAAAAAAATACTTAAAATATATATATATGTACATATACACACACACACTTTTGAGGGTGGGGCACAGTGGTTCCCACCTTAATCCTAGCACTCTGGGCGGCCAAGGTGAGTGGATTGCTCACAGGTTTGAGACCACCCTGACCAAGAGCAAGACCTCTTCTCTAAAAAAAATAGCCGTTCGTTGTGGTGAGCACCTGTAAGGCAAGAGGATCGTTTGAGCCCAAGAGTTTAAGGTTACTGTGAGCTGTGATGCCATAACACTCTACCAAGGGCAACAAAATGAGACTATGTTTGACAAATAAATATGTATTCTTGGTAGAGACAGGACTTGGCTTTGTCGCCCAGGCTGGAGTTACAGTGCCACAGTCATAGCTCTCTGCAGCCTGGAACTCCTGGGCTCAGACAATTAATTCTCTTGCCTCGGCCTCAGTGCTGTTAACCTGTTGGACTGGCTTACCAGCTCACCATGAGCAGGTGGATTTAAATTAGGAACATTTCTCCCCCAGTAGAAGCTGAGGGCAGGTAGGATAAGCTGAAGGTAGGGGTGGGTTCCAATGCCAATTCTGGCCTCTCCCCAGGTGACACCCCTTGTTAAGTTCTTCATCGTGGGGGTCTGCTCTGTGCATCACTGGCCTCTACCCACTGGATACCAGTAGCACCCTACCCTTATTCATCACAACAAAAATTATCTCCAGACATTGTCAAATGTTCCCTGGGGGTTAGAATCTTCCCCCCCAACCCCCATTGAAACAACTGGATTAAATTAATTAATCTTCTTTGTATATGGACATGTGATTGTCCCAGAACTATTTGTTAAAAAAAAAACTATTCTTCCAGCCGGACGAGGTGGCTCACACCTGTAATCTAGCACTCTGGGAGGCCAAAGTAGGTGGATTGCTTGAGCTCAAGAGTTCAAGA